ACTAAACCAGGACTAAACCAGGACTAAACCAGGACTAAACCAGAACTAAACCAGAACTAAACCAGGACTAAACCAGGACTAGACCAGGACTAGACCAGGACTAAACCAGAACTAAACCAGAACTAAACCAGGTCTAAACCAGGACTAAACCAGGACTAGACCAGGACTAAACCAGGACTAAACCAGAACTAAACCAGAACTAAACCAGGACTAAACCAGGACTAGACCAGGACTAAACCAGGACTAAACCAGAACTAAACCAGAACTAAACCAGGTCTAAACCAGGACTAAACCAGGACTAGACCAGGGCTAAACCAGGACTAGACCAAGACTAAACCAGGTCTAAACCAGGACTAAACCAGGACTAAATCAGGACTAAACCAGGCAGGTGAACCGTTTTAGTAAATTGCACTTTTCAATAAAATCTCAATAAAATGGTTAGTTTAAAACTGTGAGAGGGTCAGTGGGTCAGTGGGTCAGAGGTCAGTGGGTCAGTGGGTCAGAGGTCAGAGGGTCAGTGGGTCAGAGGTCAGTGGCAGAGTGGTTAGTCTCTGCAGTAGCTTCACTTGGTCCCAGTTCCACAGAGTTTATTTCTCCACCTGGTTTTGTGCTCCTCAGTTTTTAATCCAGGTAAAACTGACAGGTGACTGACAGGTGAGGGACAGGTGACTGACAGGTGAGGGACAGGTGACTGACAGGTGAGGGACAGGTGACTGACAGGTGAGGGACAGGTGACTGACAGGTGAGAGGTCAGACATTAATGACCGTGTCCTCCTCTTCATCCCGCTCCTCCTCCTCCTCCTCACCACAAGAGCTCATGATGAACCTGAAACACAAGACAGAATCTGACACACAGACTGAACCAGAACTAAACCAGGACTAAACCAGGACTAAACCAGAACTAAACCAGGACTAAACCAGGACTAAACCAGAACTAAACCAGGACTAAACCAGGACTAAACCAGGACTAAACCAGGACTAAACCAGGACTAAACCAGACTAAACCAGGTCTAAACCAGGACTAAACCAGGACTAAACCAGGTCTAAACCAGGACTAAACCAGAACTAAACCAGAACTGAACCAGGACTAAACCAGGACTAAACCAGGACTAAACCAGAACTAAACCAGGACTAAACCAGGACTAAACCAGGTCTAAACCAGGACTAAAACCAGGACTAAACCAGGTCTAAACCAGGACTAAACCAGAACTAAACCAGAACTGAACCAGGACTAAACCAGGACTAAACCAGGACTAAACCAGGACTAAACCAGGACTAAACCAGGACTAAACTAAACCAGGACTAAACCAGGACTAAACCAGGACTAAAACCAGGACTAAACCAGGTCTAAACCAGAACTAAACCAGGACTAAACCAGGACTGAACCAGAACTAAACCAGACTGAACCAGACTAAACCAGGACTAAACCAGGACTAAACCAGGACTAAACCAGGACTAAACTAAACCAGACTAAACCAGAACTAAACCAGGACTAAACCAGGACTAAACCAGAAACTAAACCAGGACTAAACCAGGACTAAACCAGACTAAACCAGGACTAAACCAGGACTAAACCAGACTAAACCAGAACTAAACCAGGACTAAACCAGGACTAAACCAGGACTAAAACCAGAACTAAACCAGGACTAAACCAGGTAAACTAAACCAGAACTAAACCAGAACTGAACCAGAACTAAACCAGGACTGAACCAGGACTAAACCAGGACTGAACCAGGACTAAACCAGGACTAAACCAGGACTAAACCAGGACTGAACCAGGACTGAACCAGGACTAAACCAGGACTAAACCAGAACTAAACCAGGACTAAACCAGGACTAAAGCAGGTCTAAACCAGGACTAAACCAGAACTAAACCAGAACTGAACCAGAACTAAACCAGGACTAAACCAGAACTAAACCAGAACTGAACCAGGACTAAACCAGAACTGAACCAGAACTAAACCAGGACTAAACCAGAACTGAACCAGGACTAAACCAGGACTAAACCAGGACTAAACCAGAACTAAACCAGGACTAAACCAGGACTAAACCAGAACTGAACCAGGACTAAACCAGGTCTAAACCAGAACTAAACCAGAACTGAACCAGGACTAAACCAGAACTGAACCAGAACTAAACCAGGACTAAACCAGAACTAAACCAGGACTAAACCAGAACTGAACCAGGACTGAACCAGGACTAAACCAGGTCTAAACCAGAACTGAACCAGAACTGAACCAGAACTAAACCAGGACTGAACCAGGACTAAACCAGGACTGAACCAGGACTAAACCAGGACTGAACCAGGACTAAACCAGGACTAAACCAGGACTAAACCAGGACTGAACCAGGACTGAACCAGGACTAAACCAGGACTAAACCAGAACTAAACCAGGACCGGCATAGGTCTAAACTCGGTCTGACCTGTAGTCTCCTCCGATGGCCAGTGCAGCTCCTGATCCCTCTGAGATCCAGTCGTGGCTCTGAGTCCAGGTGTGCC